TCAACGACTTGTTTTAGAGACAATCCCAGTAGGGAGTTTAGAATATGTGTGCTCCTGGCACAAGCAGCTATTTTTGTTTTCCAATTCACATCAGGAAGATTAAAGTCACCCATGATGATAACTTCCCCCTTCATTGTCATTTTTAGCTATTTCCTCAACAAACTCAGCACATACTAACCCAAGGATCCACACTAATCTCATACCCATCTCTTGTTCCTCTAAACCCTCCTTCAATACTGCCCTCTGGAACGCACGCTCTGTGTGCAATATAACTAAATCCACTGCTGTCCATGACTACTTCATCTCTCGTTCAATAGATTTACTAGCCTTAACAGAAACCTGGCTCTCCCCCTCTGACACTGCCATCCCTGCATCTTTGTCCTTCGGTGGTCTCCAACTTACCCACACCCCAAAAAACTCTGAATGTTGGGTTTCTCCTCTCCCCTCACTGCTCTTTTAAACCTCTTCCCATCCCCCCTTCCCTCTCTTTCCCATCATTTGAAATACACTCAATTCGCCTTTTCAAACCCTTCGCTGCTAACATTGCTGTTATTTACCGTCCCCCTGGTTCCCCTCTTCTCTTCCTTGACCATTTTGCTGCCTGGCTACCCTATTTCCTCTCTTCTAACATCCCATCCCTAATTCTCGGGGACTTCAATATTCCTATAAACCCACCTTTGACCTCTGCAGCCAATAAACTACTTTCAATTACTTCCTCCCTCGGGCTATCACAGTGGGCAAATTCTCCCACCCATGTAGCTGGCAATACCCTTGACCTAATCTTCACTTATGCATGTACGGTATCTAATATCTGCAACACTCCTTATCCTCTCTCTGATCACCACCTCTTATCGTTTGCTCTCACGTACCCCCTCACCCAACAACCTCCGCCTAACCAGCCTCAACTCAGGAGGGACCTTAATTTTCTTGATCTCCAACAGTTGTCAGATGACATTGATTCACAACTGCTGTCCATCCCTTCCCTATCCTGTCCTTCACTGGCCATCTCCATATATAGCTCTACTCTTACATCTGCCTTGAACACTGCAGCGCCACTCCAAACAAGCACCTCAAGGAGGACCCGCCCCCAACCATGGCATACTAAATCAACGCGCTACCTGCAAAGATGCTCCCGGTGTGCTGAACGCTCCTGGAGGAAGTCTCGCACCCAGTCAGACTTTCTCCATTATAGATTCATACTGTGTTCATACAGTGCAGCCCTTGCCCTTGCCAAACAGTCCTATTTTTCCTCTCTCATTAGTTCATGTTCCCGCAACCCCAGGCGTCTCTTTGACACCTTTAATTCTCTTCTTCGCCCCGCTGTGGCCACCCCCCAAACCAACCTTACTGCTGATAACTTTGCATGTTACTTCACTGACAAAATTGAACAGCTAAGGAAAGAATTCTCCCCTCCTTGCCTTTCTGTTTCTCAATCACACATTGATCATGCCTTTCCTACCCTTCAGACATTCTCCCCAGCCACTGACCAAGAGGTGGCTGCTCTTCTTTGCTCCTCTCGCCCCACCACTTGCCCGCTCGATCCTGTACCGTCTCACCTTATCAGATCTATCTCCGCTTGTCTTGTGCCTTCTCTAACACACATCTTCAACTGCTCGCTCTCTTCTGGCATCGTCCCTGCTGACCTTAAACATGCCACTGTAGTACCTATACTAAAAAAACCATCCCTTGACCCATCCAGCCCCTCTAACTACCATCCCATATCCCTGCTCCCTTTTTCCTCAAAGCTTCTTGAAAGACTCGTCTTTACCCGTGTGTCTCATTTCCTCAATTCCAACTCTCTCCTTGACCCCCTTCAATCTGGTTTCCGCCCTCTCCACTCTACAGAGACTGCCCTTATCAAAGTTACTAACGACCTAATCTCAGCTAAATCCAAAGGCCACTACTCCATACTAATTCTTCTTGACCTCTCGGCGGCCTTTGACACCGTTGATCATGCTCTCCTTCTTCAAACTCTGCAATCGCTTGGTCTCTGTGACTCTGTCCTCTCGTGGTTTTCCTCTTATCTCTCCCAGCGCTCATTCAGTGTCTCTTTTTCTAATGATACCTCCTCCCCTCGCCCTGTCTCGGTTGGAGTCCCCCAAGGCTCCGTCCTTGGTCCCCTTCTATTTTCTCTTTACACTGCCTCTCTTGGCAAACTTATTACCTCATTTGGTTTCCACTACCACCTGTACGCTGATGACACCCAGCTATATCTCTCCTCCCCGGACCTCTCCCCTGCTGTCCTGCAACGTGTCACTGCTTGCCTTTCTTCCATCTCTGACTGGATGTCCTCCCGCTTTCTGAAACTCAATCTCTCAAAAACTGAGCTCCTTGTCTTTCCTCCTCCTAATACTAATCCTCCTCTTTCGCTCTCCCTTCAAGTTTGTGGTACCAACATCAGCCCATCCTTGCAAGCGCGCTGTCTTGGCGTCATACTTGACTCTGGTCTCACCTTTGAGCCTCACATCCAGCATGTTGCCAAATCCTGTAGATTCCATCTTAAAAACATAGCCCGCATCCGCCCCTTTCTTGCACCAGATACTACCAAGGAGCTTGTCCATGCTCTAATAATTTCACGCATGGATTATTGTAACCCTCTCCTGCTTGGTCTTCCCAAAAGCCGTACTGCACCCCTACAGTCTGTAATGAATGCTGCTGCTAGACTGATTTTCCTCTCTAGTCGGTTCTCTCACACCTCACCCCTCTGCCAGTCCTTACATTGGCTTCCTGTGTGCTATAGGAGTCAATTCAAGGCACTAACTCACACCTATAAAGCACTGAACAACTCTAGCCCCTCTTATATCTCCTCACTGATCCACAGGTATGTCCCTTCTCGGTCTCTCCGCTCTGCCCGTGACCACCTCCTGTCCGTTGTCCGCACCCGTACGGCCAACTCGCGCTTGCAGGACTTCTCGCGGGCGGCTCCCTACCTATGGAATAGCCTGCCTACCGCCATCCGACTCTCCCCTAGTCTTGCATCTTTTAAGAAGTGCCTTAAAACCCATCTCTTTAGGAAAGCTTATGGCCTCCAAGACTAACCCCTACCTCACATACCCGTCTCTTGCCCTCTCCTAAAGGGCAGCCCACCTTTTTTGATTGCACATTCCTGTCCTAATGTGTCTTACACCCCACCTCCTATAGAATGTAAGCTCGATTGAGCAGGGTCCTCTTCAACCTATTGTTCCTGTAAGTTTATTTGTAATTGTCCTATTTATAGTTAAATCCCCTTTCATAATATTGTAAAGCGCTACGGAATCTGTTGGCGCTATATAAATGGCAATAATAATAATAATAATAGTAGATTATCTAACTCTTCAATTTGTCCTGGGGGCCTATAAATCACACCTATACGAGTTACTGTGTGATTACCAAATTCTAACGTAACTCAACTGGACTCTATGTTCGCCTCACTAACTTTTATTAGGCTAGATTTTATGCTATCCTTCACATCCTTCACATACCCCTCCCCCTTTCTTGCCTTCCCTGTCTTTTCTATATAAAGAGTACCCTGGTATTGCTATGTTCCAGTAATTTTTCTCATTATACCATGTCTCAGTAACAGCGACTAAATCTACACTATCAGTTGCCATTATTGCCACAAGTTCAGGGATCTTATTCCATAAACTGCGAGCATTTGTAGACATGAGTCTAAGCTTATCATTTTTTAACACACTTGCTACAGGCACCTTCTGTCCTTGTTTTGGGGGACAATTGGATTGATGTTTTATCACCCTTTTGCCCCCCCCCTCCTAGTTTAAATACATCCTAGCGCAGAGGTAGGCAACCTTTTAGCAGCACTGTGCCGATATAGGATTGTGATGTCCCGTAGCGTGCCGGTCCTATTTTTTTAAATTGAGGTGTGTATGCTGCCGTATTCTGCTTGTGTTATTTATACTGTAATTGCTTTGTATCGTTGTATTTGTGCGCATATGAGCTATTATATTGTATATGTTCATGAGTAGATTGTGGTATTGTGTATGATACATATGAATGTGGGCTGTGTATTGGGGCAGCTTGTGGAATTGTGTGTGTGTGTGGATGGATATGTCACATTGTGTGTTTGGTAGTGTGTGTATGTGTGGGGGCTGTTTGGAGTATAGCATGTGAGAGCTACATGTGGGGTTGTGTGCATGTATGTGGATTGTTAGAGGTGTTGCGTTTGTGCGGATTGTGTGTATGTTTGTGTGTGGGCTGTCCGTATTATTTGTATGAGGGGAGGGTCTTTCTGCATTTCTGTGTACATCTAGCAGTGTGGGTGGCTTCCCTGGGTTCAAGTGGGGACCAGGCTGGCAAGGTACAGGTCAAGGACAGGAGCTGCAACAACAACTGCAGGCTTCTCTACTACTGTGTTGATTCCCATTCACAAGTGCTGGAATGAAGTGCTCTGAGATCACTTCCTCTACGTGCTGCAATGCATAAATTGAGGATAGGCATAAATTGTCCTTCACCACCTCTTCGTATTAGCAGATATCTGAAGTTGTACTGGGACTCCTGATAGGCCAGAGCCTGTTTGGCTCTAGCAGCCTTGAGTGCCGTGCAAAGGCACCTTGAGTGCCGTGCATGGCACTAGTGCCGTAGGTTGCCTACCCCTGTCCTAGCAAAACCTCTGAACTGCTCACTGAGAACATTTGTTCCCTTTTGAGAAAGATGCAAACCATCTTTTTTGTACAGGTTATTTCCATTCCAAACAGAGCTACCATGAGAAATAGAGCCAAATCCTTGCTCCCGACAACATTCACCAAGCCCCAAATTAAAGTCTCTAATACGCATCCGCCTGTCGTTCTGAGTGTTATGCACAGGCAGAACTTCAGAGAATGACGGTGTGGAAGCAACCTGCCGTATATCATTGGCAAAAACACTACAAACTTCCTTAACCTCTGAAACCTCATTGCAAGCCAAGTCATTTGTCCCTAGATGGACAAGTATGTCCAATTCCCCTTCCTGCTTTGTTCGCTTAACAATATTACAGATACGTCTCCTGTCTCTATGAGCAGTAGCTCCGGGAAGACACCTCACAAGACCACCATTGTCCATCTCCACACCTCTTATGATGGAATTCCCCAACAACAACTGCTTTCTATTAGGCCTCACCATAGTCTCCAAGCCTGTCTCCACAACACCACTAGCCTCAGTGCCTCTCTCCACAACACCATTAGACTCTGAAAGTGCAGAAAGTGAATTATGTAGAGCAACAGACTGTGCAATATGCATTTTATCCACAACTATAAGCCTACCAGATCCTACAGTAATCCATCTGCCATTCCTAGTATGTCTCTGCGGCAGTGGCTTTGCAGCAGTTCCAGTCTGAGTTTGTTTACCAGATAATTTACAAATCTCAGACTTCAAGAATACAATCTCCTGCCGCAAGAGAACTGTCTACAGATTAGACAACAACCTTCAGATGGGCTTTGCAAAAGGATTGAAACCAGCCACGCTCAAGGTCTAACTTTCGGCTATCAGTTTCTTTTCGTTCAGATGTTTGGCTTCGAATATTCTAATCACCAGATTTTTCAAGGCGCTGTCTCGATTGGTTCCTACCATCAGGGAAACTTTTCCTCCATGGGATCTTAATTTGGTTTTATCAGCTCTCTGCGAACCTCCGTTTGAACCTCTAGAAACGTCTTCTCTGAAGGTTTTATTGTTCAAGACTTTGTTTTTGGTGGCTATTACCTCGGCTAAAAGATTGGGAGAACTTCAAGCTCTTAATTCAAATTTTCATTTTTTAGTTTTCCATCAGGACAAAGTGGTGTTAAAGCTGGATCCTTCTTTTATTCCCAAGGTTTGTTCTCCCTCTACCATCCATCAAGAAACAATTTTACCTACTTTTTGCCAACAGCCTTCTAATGCATTAGAAGTCAAATTCCACTGCCTGGACCTTAAGAGATCTCTGCTGCAGTACCTGGGAAGTACAAAGTCCTTTAGGAAACCTAACAGACTTTTTGTCTTGCTTCATAGTCATAGAAAAGTTCTCTGGTCAGATGGTTAAAAGACTGCATTCGTTTGGCTTATTCCACATCCAACGTTTCTGCACCTATCTCCATTAAAGCTCATTCTACCAGATCTATGTGCACATCTTGGGCCCTGCGGGCTTCAGCTACGCCTTCTCAAATTTGTTCTGCAGCTACGTGGTCATCTCTTCACACGTTTGCTAAACATTACAAATTAGACATACTGGCCTCGGAAGACACAACTTTTGGGCACAAGGTGTTACAAGCAGTTATGAAATGAGTCCCGCCCTCAGGGGATTGCTTTGATTATCCCTGTTGTAAAGCACTGCCTCTAATCTGAAGGGAATAGCGTAAATTTTTACTTACCGTAAGTTTATTTTTCCTGAAGATTAGAGGCAGTGCTCACTTCCATCCCCGATGTACTAATAAACTAAATTTTGCAGTTATCCGGCTTTTGTATTTTCTAGGGCTGTTTGGGGTCAGAGGCACTTTATAGTGCAAAAGGTAATTGTAATTTTCCCACGCCGTGTAATTGGACTCATAACACTCTGATTGGTGTATTAAGTAACCAGAGTGTTATGAGTTATCAGGCTGCTCACTGTTTAATAGACAACCAAAACCACAAAAATACGGGATACGGCAGAAAATAAATCTAAACGGAACATAAAAATATACAAATAGTGAAGTACAGTTAACACACTCAATCATGCGCTGTACATAGATGCACTCAAAGAACTATATGTCGAATATATCGCTCATAGGGTGCCTCCCCCGATGAAATGGGGGGCTAGTAATCCCTTTGTTCCTTGTGAAGTTTCTCAATAATGCTCAGGACTTCAAACAGGTAATGGTAGGAAAAAAAAGATGATTTTTTTTACTGATAAAAGGTGAATAATCACCATCAATATCAAATATAATATAAGAAAAAAAGGTGATGGTCCTACGCGTTTCGTTCTGCGAAGAACTTCATCAGGGACCGCAATTATAAGTAAAATCAATATACAAATTACAGCATGTAAAAAAACATCCTATTCCCCCCATCCCCCAAGTCCCCTTTAAATACGGCTAATCCCTGTGTCTATTGGTGGTTCCATGGGTGGTGTCAGTCATCCATAACTTGATTGGTCCCACAGGGAAACTGCTCAGCTGTTTGTCATCCTTGTCATATCGCCGAAAATCTAATTTGGCGCGTCCGGATAGTCGGAACCGGAAGTATATGTTATTCTATACTTCCGCGTTCCACATGCGTTCCACCTGCGTTCTACTTCAATGTTGTTAAATAATCATTAAAGTCAACATAGAGCAATATATTATACATCTACTGAAAAGAAAACAATATTAGTAACCTCATAACAATTACCTTTTCTCATATTTCTTGTGATTAACTTGTACTAAAAAACGTTATTAATACTGTATAATCAGACTATAATACATTAAAGTCTGATTCTTAAAGTGAAACATATATAAATAAAAACATTTTTTGAAAATATATAATCCAATATCTGAGGATCTTTTATCAATACTGGATAATAGTGTACATATTAAACATGTATGCCGTGAAATAATTCTCAGTAATTATTATAAAGTAAATCAGTGCTAAACAATAATATCCGATAGTAAGCATATCGTATTATGTTCCCATACGTTCTAAACAATCTCCAATATTCAATGGAGTTACACACATACCTAATGTCCTAAATAGTCAAAAGAGGGACATATTGATGTATAGAAAAAACACACATATATAAATAGTAGAATTTTCCTCAGCATTTGAATTTGAAATATTTAGGGAATATATTCCCAATATATAGAGAATTTATAGAACCGAATGTGATCAAATTTACAGATTCCAAGAATTCAGAGTTTATTTAGTACATATATCTATCAATACCTTGTACAAAGTTAGATTAATAAGTATGTATATACCTCTACAGTATCAGATGTGCAGAGGAGATATATTGGAGTGAAATTTGAAAAAAAGAGTTGGTGAAAACCGAAGAAATAAATGAAAGATACATTATACACAATGTCTCAACCAAAAAGGTCATAGGTCTTAATCAAGAAAACAAACTAGGTCAATACCTATATTCAGACCCTTTGGTTCTAGGGTTCTCAATTTATGTATCCAAAATGTTTCCCTTTGGGATAATTTCTTGACCCTATCACCACCTTGCCAGAATGGAAAAACCCTTTTGATACCCATGCATTTAAAATCCCTAAATGTAAAGAATGGGCAATTGGAACAATGGGCTGGAACAGAATGAGTTTTCAATCTTTTCCTAATGTTGTTCAAATGCTCGAGTATTCTGACTTTCAAGATCCTTTTTGTTCGGCCCACATACTGTTTGCCACACGGACACTGTAGTAAATAAACTACATAGTCCGTGTGGCAACTGATCTCGGATTTCACTTTAAACCTTTCCCCTGTAACAGTGCTACAAAATTCCACAGTTCTCAGCATAGATGTAATAGTGCAGGCTTTACAAGACCCGCAGCCCCTAAAAATCTGAATCTAGAGGAGTGTTGGTATTAGGATGTTTGATGGCATAGCTAGGAGCTAATAAATTCTCACTGTTTAATAGACATGCCCCTATTCGCTATACCGCAAATTTTTACTTAGTATTAGTAAATTTGTCTGAAAGACCAATTTAGGTCTTTCAGCCTTTTGGTAGATAACTCCCTAATACCGTGGGAATTAGGGAGTTATCTACTAAGCAGATGCAAGAGAAGTGCCGAAGTCCCGAAATTCTAAAATGCCGATTTTCCGAAATTCCAAAGTTCTGAAGTGCTGAAGTTCCGAAGTCCCGAATTTCGGAATACCGAACCGAACCGAAATTTTCCCCATGTACATGCCTACTTTCCATGCCTTAATTGTATCTGTTGTAATTCTATGATTAAAGGCTCGATATTTACTCATCCCTAGAGTTGAGCGAACCCGAACTGAACAGTTCGGATTCGTACCGAACATTAGGTTTTTTGGACCCCGGACCCGAACATGGACATATCACTGTATGGGTTGGAGTTTGGTGTTCGGCAATTTAATGGCACGTTTTGAAAGACTGGAGGGCAGCCAATCAACAAGCGTTTGACTCGTGTGCATAGGCGTGCGCACGGGGTGTGCCGGGTGTGCCTGGGCACACCCTAATCCCTGTGCGCACCCCTATGGTTTGAGTCCTGCAGGAACAGCGTTCCTGCACTCTTTTGAGCAGGAACGCTGTTCCTGCAGGCACTCAGTGTCCCCTGTCTCACCTCTTGCCCCTGTCATGGGAGGGCAAGAGGTGATGATTCCCCCCCCCCACCCTGCAGGTCAGCGCGCGGCGAGGGAGCTCTCTGCTCTCTGCTTCCTCTCGCCGCGCGCTGATGCCGGGAGCGTGTGTGTGTGTGTGAGTGTGTGTGAGTGTGTGTGAGTGTGTGTGAGTGTGTGTGTGTGTGTGTCAGTGTGTGTGAGTGTGTGTGTGTGTCTGTGAGTGTGTCAGTGTGTCTGTGAGTGTGTGTCAGTGAGTGTGTCAGTGTGTGTCTGTGAGTGTGTGAGTATGTGTCTGTGAGTGTGTGAGTATGTGTCTGTGAGTGTGTGAGTATGTGTCTGTGAGTGTGTGAGTATGTGTCAGTGTGTGTCAGTGTGAGTGTGTCAGTGTGTGTCTGAGTGTGTGTGTCAGTGAATGTGTGAGTATGTGTCAGTGTGTGTGTCAGTGTGTGTCTGTGAGTGTGTGAGTATGTGTCTGTGAGTCTGTGAGTGTGTGTCAGTGTGTGTCTGTGAGTGTGTGTGTCAGTGAGTGTGTGAGTATGTGTCAGTGAGTGTGTGTGTCTGTGAGTGTGTGAGTATGTGTGTGTTTCTGTGAGTGTGAGTGTGTGTGTCTGTGAATATATATATACGTATATATATATATATATATGTATATATATGTGTATATATATATATATATATATATATATATACACACACGCACGCGCGCGGCGTGTGTTTGTGCTTTAGGGTGCACACCCTAATGCAATAGGCTGCGCACGCCTATGCTCGTGTGCCCTTAGAAGCCATCACAGCCATGCCTACTAATGGTATGGCTGTGATTGGCCAGTGCAGCATGTGACCCAGCCTCTATATATAAGCTGGAGTCGCGTAGCGCCGCATGCACATGCGGTCTTATTAGTGTAGGGAGAGGATGCTGCCACTAATAGGGACAGCTTAGGAAAGAATTCTGCAAACTAGTATATTAGTGGGGTGGGGTGCACTTCATATCTGAGAATCAAATAGAAGCTTCAAATACAGCGGTTACATCGGAGTTTTAAAAAGTACATTTTTATTGGGTGCAAAATAGTACATTAGTGGGGTAGTACATTAGTGGGGTGCACTTCATATCTGAAAGTCAAATAGAATCGTCAAATACTGCTGTCACATTGCAGTTTTAAAACTTTAAAAAAATTTGGGTCCTAAACTGCTAAATAGTATTTTAGTGGGGTGCACTTCATACCTGAGAGTCAAAACGAAGCGTCTAATAGTGTGCTTACAGCGCAGTGGTAAACATTCTTTTTTTCTGGGTGCTAATCTGCTAAATAGTACATTTTAGGGCCTGTTCTTCATATCTGAGAGTCAAATAGAAGCGTCTAATATTGTGCTTACTGCGCAGTTGTAAACATTCTAATTGTTTTGCTGCTAATCTGCTAAATAGTACATTTGCGGCCTGCGGTGCACGTCATATCTGAGAGTCAAATAGAAGCGTCAAATAGTGCGCTTACTGCACAGTTGTAAACATTCTAATTGTTTTGCTGCTAATCTGCTGCTTATATTGGAGTTTTAAAAAGTCACATTTTTTGGGGGGGCGCTAAATAGTATATTTGGGGTGTTCACTTCATATCTGAGAGTCAAATCGAACCGTAACTTTTATTCAAATTTACTACATCAGTCACTTGTAATATTGTTTCACAATTACAACACTTGTTACACAGATCTAAGTGATAGAAAACAGATTGATATTTTGTACACTAGAAACTACCAGATAACAAGCTGCTATATTTAAACCAGTGGTCAATAGCTAAGAGGTACTTCAACAATCTTGTAATTATGGGGCAATACCCTCACAAGTAAAACTGAGAGGTCAGTTTATAGGGAAAACTGTTGCCTGGAGGAAATTCTAAAACAATTTCCATATGTCCTTTGCAGACTTTACATTCTGGAAAAACACAGGTGCCAACTGCTGTGGTTTTCTGTAGTGTGCATACCGGCAAGGAGGGCAGGGTTGAGGAGTGGGTGGAAGATGATGTGGAGGATAATGAGGTCCTAGACCCCACATGGAATCAATGTCATGCGAGTGATGTGTGCAGTTTGCAGGAAGAGGCGCTGGTCGCACAGAGGCACCAGCACAGCATAAGAGGGAGCAGGGTGCAAAAGCGCAGCAGCTGTCCACTAGCGCTCGTCGGCATGTATTAGCTCGAGAATGACCAGCTATCCAAGTAATACACATAGCGATCAAAGGATCCATAATAGACTTGAGCGAACCCGAACTGCAAAGTTCAGGTTTGTACCAGATATAACGATCCATTCGTAGTTTCGCAGTCAGGTGGGCAGTCCGGTGACCAGGACCCAGACACTGTCGAACGACCGGGACCCAGTATGCCTGATGTTAAAGTTAGGAGTCACAGTGTGGAATGGATTAGCAGGGTCTGGTGCAGGGTAACCGCACGCCCCCTGGTGTTGAGCACCAGCGTTTGTGCGGCCACATACCAGGACCCTGATGCAGCTTCAGTAAAAAGAGTACTGGATACCAGAAGCCATCACCAGACTGATCCGCAACTTGGAACAGGATGTGACATTCACTGTAGCGGCTGTGCACGCTTTTGGCGTTCTCACCCTGCTGCTGCTCGCCTGTCTGCGCTGCAGCGTAACTTCGGCCTTCCCGTCCTCATGAGACTGTGCGAGCAGCAGCAGGCGATAGTGGAGTTTCAGCTGCAGCACGCACGGGTCAGTGGCTCTGCACCAGACTTCCCTCCAATTGATCAGAGTTAAAGGATTTCAAGTGGACTCATTACAATTACAGGGCCTCTAAAGAGTCCTGTATTGTTATTTGTCATCACTACCTTCCCGGTCGGGAGTGGGTCATTTGCGCGCCTGCTGCCTTCCTTGCATGTGGTAGCCGTTTCTCAGGGTCCCTGTACGGAATGGAACCCTGATTCCCCGTTACCCGTGGTCACCATGGTAGGCACAGAAACTGGCATCGAAAGTTGATATGGATGACATCCGCATGCAAAGTCGCCGCCACGTGGATGTGCATTTGCCCGAGGTTCTCTAGAGTCAACAAAGTTCCTGCGCAACTATAATGTCAACAGCTACTCTGCGGAACAGAGTTGTCTTTTTTTATATGTCCCAATATTTTGGGGGCTACCCCAATTAAAATATATATATATATATATATATATATATATATATATATATATATATATATATATATATATATATATATATATATATATAAAAACAGTGTTGGCTACCTCATCCTCCTCCTCCACCACCACGCTCACCGCCTCCTCAACCTATGGGTATAAACAGTGTTGGCTACCTCCTCCTCTTCCACCGCCGCTTCCACCTTCACTGCCTCCTCAACCTATGGGTCACTTAGTATAAACTATGTACACAATAGCAGAGGCTTGTGAAGGCCTTTTCTCAATGCATCAGGAGTTGAGCTCAGTTTGAACAATGAAAGAGAATACCCTGCACTCCAACCCTCTCTCAAATGGATAATTCTGGTGATCCTCCTCACAGCCATGCTTTAGATTTTGCTTTATGTTCTTCCAAAGCTAAAATAAAAGATTCCATCTAGTGCTATTTTATGGCTCAGCTGTATTTTTCATTTTTATGTTATTTTAAGTGATTTCCCTATCCACATTTGTTTGCAGGGCACTTGTCGTACTATTACCCCCATTGTACTTGCTTTTGCAGCTCTCTAGCTCTTTCCAGGAGTTTTTTAGAGACATTTGTGGCCAAACATTCGGGTCCCCATTGACTTCAATGGGGTTCGGGTTCAGGGTCAAGTTCGAGCCCGAATCCGGACTTTTTTTCAAAGTTCGGCCGAACCCGCCGGACCCGAACATCCAGGTGTCCGCTCAACTCTACTCATCCCGACAGGGGTAATAAATATGTGATTAGACAATTTGTCACATGTGATACTACATATGTAGTTTATATCTTAAAATGCCCTTGTGGCTTAATTTACGTAGGTCAAACAACCCAAAAAATGAAAGAAAGATTTTCGAAACACAAGTCCACAATAAGAACAAAAATGCTTGATTTACCCATTCCGATGCACTTCATAGAAGCAAAACATAATATAACTCAACTCAAATTTCAAATTATTGAACATGTGGAAGAAAGTTTTAGACGAGGTGATCGATTAAAAAGATTACTATTTAGAGAAGCATATTGGATTAGGGAATTAGGATCCCTAACACCTAGGGGACTTAATCAAGAATATGACCTCAATCTGTTTATTTAGGTCTTAGTCTTTAATTTTATTTTTTGTTTTTTAAGATTTTAATTAATTTTTACCATTATGTCTTACAGATTATTATCTGTGATGGCTGTGCTGGTTTTTCACTTTATTGAGCACATCTCTGAATATTGTCTCTCATATTCACAATGCATTTTTAATTTGATTATAGTCTCCAAACATTGTTTATAGAGTCAGTTAAAATGTAAAAAAAAAAATTCTGGCCTGTATATATCTCTCTCTTATCTCTATTATGTAGACTTTTGATAATTCATGTCCATATGGCTTATTATTGTTTTATAGTGAGTTTCATCGTTACACTATAAGTAATTATTATTTGGATATATTGTATTAAATTATTGAGTATTAGTAATATCTCTAAAATTAAACAGAAAGCCAGACACATAGTTTAACATATATCTTAACATTTGTATATTTTGATGTTGACAATGCAGAGGGGGACAATTTATTCTATATACGGCATAAATAAATCTTTGTTATTAAATAGATGTATTACTTTTTTATATATCTAGTTAAGAGACTATATGATACATTCTATCTTGAGATCAGACATACATGCTCCATTGGATCGTTTAGAATGGAATTGTTATATAGTTGTTTATACATGTTTCATCAACATAGTTTTCACACACATAGATCAATTTTTTACTATTAGTGTTATACATGAGCCACAGTTCTCATATACGCATTACATATTATTGTGTTGCATATTATGAGACAATATTTTACTCTAGACTTTACACTATATTAATATTGAAAATTTAATATTTTATACACTATTTAATGCAATATTCTATATAATATTCTAAACACTATTTAAGGCCATATTAATTCTTTTTCACTGTATTATTTTGTTTAATACATATTTTTATATTTGAAGTTATTTTAATTAAGCAGGTAAGAAACATAAATAAGATAATAATAAACACTATGAAATATGTGTAAAATATATATTGTATAATGGATGATCTCCATTATGATGGGATTATGTAGTTATTTTTTTATTATATTTAATCAATTTGTTATTGTATTAAACTATATTGTATGTCATCAATGATTAAATTTAGAATTTGTGATTATTTACAGTGATCATTGTATTGTACATATGGGGCTGTTGTGACACCACAGGATTTAAATTAGCCTTATTCTACTCAAATTCTTTGAGATAATTAATATAAAATCAATATCTTAATAATATTTCAATTTTTATTTGTGTAGCTGCGGTCGCGCTATATTCCACATGCGCATTATATATATGTTCGGGTTTGCCCTTTCTTGTAAATGTTTTATATCGCGCATGCGCAATGTGGCTTTGCCTTATTGCGCATACTCCGTATTGCATTGCGGTGAATCGGTAATATCCGATCATGTGACCTACGTTGTGTGTTACGTCTGATAGGTTGGATGCGGTCACTTGATCAAACCCATGTAATTATATCCAGAAATGTAAGTACTCAACCGGGCTTGATTATTATTTGAAACTGCTCTATATTATTAATAGATAATTAGAAACAAGTATTTTACAATTAAATAATTAAATGGTATCATTAATTAATTTAATTTTTATTGGCTATGCTATCCTGTGCTGTCTGACACCCCTATTATGTGAAATAGTGACTGGAGAGACAATTATATGTTTTTATGTTTTTATCATTAGTGATTGATTATGTTATTAATTGATTGTAATTTTATCACATGTTTTTTCACTTAATTGCTACATACACCTATAAATTGATTTTATTGTATGTGCTTCACTAGCTTGACAAAGGCCCTAAGGGGTTGAAACGTTGCTTTTTGGTTCCTTGTTTCAATAAAAATTGCCTTTATTTTTGGAATTTGCTGGAGTGCCTGGATCATTTCTTCTATTTAAAATTCACAGTTAAAATGTCATGTAGAACTTAAAAGATTACAACATTTCTTATTTTCTCCCATTTTTTTTATATTTTATTCATATTAAATTATGTTTCATAGCTAAATATTTCATGTTAAATGAAAGCCTTGTTTCCCCTGAATAAAATGATATATAATAATTGTGTGTGCACTTAATATGAAAGAGGTGAATTACGGTTGAACAGGTTTTGTTTACATTTTGTTTTGATCACAATGTGTACATTTGTCTCAGTCCTTAAGGGGTTAAGCTAACGTTGGTCTGGTGCTTATAGTGTACCTTTTTTATGGTAAATTATAAATTATGGTGGATGGTGTAGCTGTATATATAATAAATTATTTCAATCAGATTTTTCCTTAAAATCCACCTTTCTGTATTTTAGCTTGGGCTTTCAAAGATATATATGTTTGACTTTATTATCCTTGTAACAGCCATTAAGTACAAGCATTAAGAGTTCAATAGAAAGTTTCAGTCAACAAATTCTGAGATGAGCCCGAGGGCATAGCCAATAAATCAAGAATTGGCCAACTTGCAACAAATTAATGCATATTAAATTCAAGACACGGGTAACACAACTAACCATATTAAGGGCAATATAAGATCTGTTCTAGGGCAAAGTTCTAAAGTGAAACAATTAGAAGGAACATAACACTGGTTACTACGGCAACTGCTAAAAGTGTAGAACTTTGGTTCTTTTTTTTTTTTTTAAAACAAATCCCTGATCATTTAATATGTTTTGTACTGTTGTCATTTATTTTCAGTGCAAATAGACTCATGCCTAGTCCAAAGGAATTACCCCCACTGTACAGTATTTGTGTATATGTGAAGTGGACTTCAAACAGTATAAATTATTAAATTTTTGGTTCCCTGTACCTGTTTATTTTATGTGAAATCCAGAGATGATGTTGTCAATGTAACTATTTTATCAAACAATATATTATAATTATTTTATGGAAACATGAGGTTTATTTGCAAACATATTTTCAATAGCATGACTGGCCCTTAAACACATATATACAGGAATTTAAACTCAATGCACACCTTCTTCTTGAATGTATCTACTACGTTAAAAGAACACTATAGTCACCAAAACAATTTTAGCTTAATAAAACAGTTTTGGTGTATAGATCATGCCTCTGCAGCCTCAATGCTCAATTATCTGCCATTTAGGAGTTATATAACTTTGTTTATTAACCCTAGTCACACCTCCCTGCATGTGACTTGCACAGCCTTCCTAAACACTTCCTGTAAAGAGTCATCTAATGTTTATCCTTCCTTTATTGCAAGTTCTATTTAATTTAGATTTTCTTATCCCCCGCTATATTAATAGATTGCTAGACCCTACAAGAGTCTCCTGTATGTGATTAAAGTTCAATTTACAGAGAAAGAGATACAATTGTATAAGGTAAATTACATCTAATTTTTTCATGCAGGCTGTGTCAATCAGAGCCAGGGGAGGTGTGACAAGAGCTGCATAAACACAAACAAAGTGATTTAACTCCTAAATGGCAGTGAATCAAGCAGTAAAACCTGAGAGACATGATCTATACACGAAAACTGCTTTATTAAGCTAAAGTTGTTTAGGTGACCATAGTGTTCCTTTAACGAATAAAATAATGATCAGAAAATAGCAGGACATTTGAGAGCCCTGTAATGCAATTTATCTAGGCCTATGAGCCATATTTCTGACGAATTCAGAGAGTTTGTTTTAAGAAACATTATATTGTTTCACTGTTAAGTGCTTTAATTTGAGCTGTTTATTCTAATGGGTAAGACTTGAGGAACTGATATAGTATTGGACATCATGGTTATGATTATTTTCATGACTTACATGAAATAGTGCAGTTCACTTATTTCAAGGGTAAATTTGTGTGCACCTTGATCTTCATTCTTTCAAAGATGTCAAGATGTAAAATGTTCAAAATGCATTTGCAGCTACATTTATTCTCAATTGAAATATAAACATCTTGGTATTAAATA